TGATGTTTTATTACTAACCCCTCAATAAATGGATGATTTAGGAGACAAACCACATCTGCAACTAAAGACCTTTGATGCCTGTTACACTTGAATTAGCTTTCTTTGCTTACTGTTACTAAAGCCAGCACTGGCACATACTGTTTCACATCTCAGCTGTATGATTCTCCCTGTCTGACCTTCTTTCCATCTTCAATTCTCTGAAATGTGACAAGGCAACATGGACCATAACACTTCTTTTTTGTTCTCCTTTTCCCTTCCTCCGTGCAGCTGACCCATTGGCATTGTGCCTGTGGGTGCAGGAGACGTGCTGCTCTGGCTCAGGCAGTAGCAGTGGTGCCACCGGGCTGGGGGCAGTTGTGTGTCTGTCCGTCCATCCCCAGCTACGTTCCTCTCTCCAGCAGGAGTTGGTGCAGCTCCTGTGCTGTGGTGCTCCAGGTCATGGCTGCAGCGGGGCGTCTGGGACAGTGGAGACACAAACCATCCACAAATGGCCCTAAATTAAATGCTTTTCGGCAACGCTGTGTATCATGAAGGAATGCTGCTGCAGAAACCGCTACCACAGGGCTCCAGTCTCCTCTGGATGCTGTTGTAATACATATGCTACTAATTGGCTACCATTTGCAGATGAGAGATGAGTCTTCTGAAAATGACGGGTTTTTCTGTTTTGGTGAGAAAATGTCACCGAAGGGGAGTTGCTTGATGTTTCTCTCCCCTTTAGACTTCAGAAAGTTGTGTCACAGTAGTTTCTTATCTTTGTGAACTCTGAATTTGTTTTAAAAATGTGTCAGAAAGCCATTAGTTCATTTTAGGACTGTTACGTTCAGCCGCTATTATATTCTCCTGTTCAGAAATTCCCTCTGCAGGCCTCTAATTTGAATAATAAGACCTAAAGACACAATTATTTTGTAGTTAATGAGAGTTTTCCTTTTTTGTGGTGTGGTGTGTTTTTTTTAAATTAAATGTAGTTGTTTCTTTCCTGACACTAGCTGCTTTCCTGTATTCTTTTATTAGGTCTGTGGAAGACATCAGATGCTCAGGCACTCTCTGCTTCTCTGTGTCTGGGATTCTCCCCTCCCAGATCTTCTCTGACAGATCTTTAAATCCTCTTCCTCTTCAAGTGAGTGAAAAATCTTTACGCTTGCTGTTTGCAGCTTAATTTTCTACGTGTCTGTTCACCTTTCCTCCCCCGACACTTTTGTACCACCTACCTTTTGTACTGTCCTCATCCTTTCTCTGCATGCTTTGTCCAACAGAAGCTTTGATCTTTTTCATCAATAGCTTGCCATCTGCTACCTGTACTTCATTGGCTTTCATGTTTCTATTATGTTGAATATGCTCAGGAAAAGATGTGAGATCTTTTAAACATGAATTGCTGTAACAAGTGGAGTTCAGAGCATTTAAAGCAACTTATTAAATCTGCCTGAGTTTGAGGAGGCACAGTGTCAGGTTAGGATTTTTTTTTTTCCTAGGTGTCAAAACATTGCGCATTTAATCTGGGTGATTGTAAGCGTTGCTCTTCTGATGGACTTGTGTCTGAAAGCATTTGGTTTATTATATGTACAGGATTCCTGTTTTGTACTGACTGTTGGCGTCTAAGACTCCAACACTATATTGATGCAGTTTGTTAAGGCTGCCCTCAACCTTTCATTTGGAGTAAGAGCTTGGAGCAAGGTTTCTGGTGCACGTGATGAGGTTGTCTCACTCCCGCTGGCTGCTGTGTGGAGGAGGCAGACCAGAAGCAGAGCACATCACGTGGAAGGTAGATTTCAAATTTTTACAGATGCAACCTTTCTTCAGCTGCCACTGAAAAAAGGTAATGGTCTGGCTGCTGTCTTCCAGGATGTGACCTGGGAGAGCTGTGGCTTGTAATTACTTTTTCTCCATGCAATTACCCTTGGATTGGTGGAACAGTTCACATGCTGCTTCTGCTTCATTGCCTTCTTCACAGATGATACACCTGAGATCTTAACAGCCTCATCACTCACTTGCTGACACATGAGCGTCAGGTGAACTACACTTATTGCTCCTCCTGCCTTTGGCATCATGATCTTGAGGAGTGGAATTAATTGGGTACCGTAGTTCTCTTTGTGGGCAAGAAGGAGCATGGGAATCTTGCTAAAAATGAAATCAGGTCTAGTCTGTAATGACTTGTAGTAAATAGGAAGAAATGCTGTGGGAAGACTGAGGGAAAGATAACAATAGGAAATGGTGTGATGATATTTGGTTTTGGCTTTCATTCTTGGGATCACTGCTGAAGAAGACTGGAAAAGTAACAAGTAAGGAGGTGGGTGAGGAATGGCTTAATCTTTTTTCAAAGCATGCTGAAAAAAATCCTGCATTTGTGGTAAGAAATAAATGTTGTGTTAGGAGCTGTGTATCAATGTGGTGCAGTTGTGAAGTGTTGCCTTCCAGGGAGAGAGATGAGGAATTCAGTCTTTCACACCTCAGTAAGAAAGGGTTAGTAGGTGCTGTGACCACCATCTATCAGTGCATGCATGAAGAACAGAAAAATAATGACTAAGGAACTTGTTATTCCAGCAAACAAAGAGAGTTGGAACTTGAAACTAATCAAATTCAAGCTGAGTATAAGGTGACCATTTTTAGATCTTAAAGGAATTATCAAGTGGAACAATTCATTGAAGCGTTGTTTAGTTCTCTATTAGGGGATGCTTGAAAACCAAGATGAGATGTTTCTCACAAAAGACAGCTATGCTTCAGTTAAATCAGAGCTACTGGACCTGAAGCAGGAATTAAAACTGAAAAATAAATCCTGTGGGTTGGATTTTACAGGCTAGTAATGCATTGGTGAATCTATGAAGGGGAGCCTCCTACCACTGCCTGACAGTCATTAGGGAGATGTTATAGCATAAAGCTCCCATTTTTTGGATCCTTCTTTCTATTTTAAGTGTTTTTGCACAAAACTGAAACACTTACTTTTTTGAAGTTAGTTGTCATAAGTAAACAGCTTAGTACTAGCTGGCTATGTCAGCAGAAGTCCTAGGACTTCTGTAAACAGAAAGGTTAAGATAGAAAATATGCGTCTGCGCTGCCCAGTTAAAGTGCTTGCTGTATTGCTTCAGTGTCCCGTTCCCTTGATCCTGCCGTCACCTGTCCTCTGTGTCTGTCCCGCTGTCCTGGAGTGAGAAGGACTCTCCCCAAGCAGAGGGAGCTGGTCAGCTTCCTGGGGGACTCGGCCGTGGATGTAGCTGACCTCCATCCAAGAAGGCTGTGTATGTGCAGGTGCTGTCCTGCAATGTCCATCTGTACACAGCACAGAGAAGCTGGATTGTTGTGTTGTCTTGGGGACATTACAGAAAATACTAGCTCTTGCGGGATCTTCAAAGTACTGTGAAGAATGTTTCAGGCCCACAGTGTTTCGGGCACAGGGATCTGGCCCCATACAGCAGTGATTCCTGCTCCTGTGTGGGAGGAAGAGGGGGAAAATGGAGGAGGTTTTGCAGCTGCAACCAGCCAGTCCTGCAGCAGATCACCAAGATGAGTATGGCCATCGCCAGTGAATTTCTGGGGTTTTGAGAGACTGCAACAGAAAAATCTCTCTGCCTCTTTGTGATAATCAGAGCTTAAGCTAATGTCTCCTAAATACTTCAAGTATTCGAGTCATTATAAGAAAACAACTTAATTCCATCCCATTGATTTATAAATGGGGAAAATACATCTCCTGTGTTTAACAGAGGGGCAGTGATAATAATACATCACTGATTTAGTTAAACTTTATTTACTTACATAAGGAAAGGAAAGTTTGTTTGACAAAAAGGTTGTTGTGGTTTAACCTCAGTTGGCAACTTGAGCACCACATAGCCGCTCACTCACTCCCCCCCACCCGGTGGGATGGGGGAGAGAATTGGAAGAGCACAAGTTAGAAAAACTCGTGGGTTGAGATAAAAACAGTTTAATAATTGAAATAAAATAATAATAATAATGTAATAATAATAATAATGATAATACACAAAGCAAGTGATGCACAGTGCAATTGCTCACCACCCGCCGACCGATGCCCAGCCAGTCCCCGAGCAGCGGCCCCCCCGGCCAGTTTTCCCCAGTTTATGTACTGAGCATGACCTCACATGGTATGGAATGTCCCTTTGGCCAGTTTGGGTCAGCTGTCCTGGCTGTGCCCCCTCCCAGCTTCTTGTGCACCTCCAGCCTTCTCAGTCGGTAGAGCATGGGAAACTAAAAAGTCCTTGGCTAGTGTAAGCACTACCTAGCAACAACTAAATCATCGGTGTGTTATCAACATTGTTCTCATCCTAAGTCCAAAACACAGCACTGTACCAGCTACTAGGAAGGAAATTAACTCTATCCCTGCCAAAACCAGGACAATGAGAATGTATTCATATGCAACATGACATTTATTGCATTTTGTAAAAAAAAAAAATTGTATTTCCCACTGGTTTTAATCTCTTTTCTAAAACTCTATTAAGGTTCATGAGAGAGAGATACTGGCTATTTTAATTTATTTGTATTGGCACATAATCAAAACACTCTCCCCTCTTCCCTTCAGAGAAGGGAATATACCAGCGCAGAACATGAAGCAGTGATGTATCAATGTAGATGGGTCAGTGAGTTTAACAAAGTCAGTGAAATTTATAGTCTATTCAGATACTCACTTCATCTGCTTCCCAACAGAGGTGGTGGTGGTGTTTTTTTGGTTGGTTTTTTTTTTTTTGGTGGGAGGTTTTGTTTGTTTTTAAGCTGAGGGAATGTTTTGAATTTTAAAGAAAAGCTTTTCCTTTTTCTGTCTAAAATGGAAATGCAAGGATGGACATATTTCATTGAAGTTGCTGTAGTAGAAGTTGGCTCACCCTGCTTTCTAATGAATGACTACTATCATGATTAGTAAACTCGCATGCTGTGATATTCCTGCACTTCTCTGACTGTCATTCGGTTACCGTGTATTGAATGAATCTAGATATCCTTGTTTTCTGATAGAAATTTTCTATAATCTGCAATTTCAAACAGTCCTGATTACCTTTCTACAGCTTGGAGGTTGCCAGCCTGACGCGGGCAGATGCTGATCTGGAGGCATATCGAGTGCAGATATGTAAAGAAGTGATTGCTCTGATGATGAAGAACATGGTCTTAAGTCATAGCCTCTTTCCTCATGTGGAGAAGAGGATGAGTTCAATTTTCAAAAAGCAGTTTCTTGCAATGGAGAAAGAGATTCAGGAGGAGTATGAAAGGAAGATGGTGGCTTTAACAGCTGAATGCAATCTGGAAACTAGGAAGAAAATGGAGGCTCAATGCCAAAAAGCGAGAGCTGCAAATGAAGAGGCTGAAGAATTAATGAAGAAAATGAATGAAAAGGTAAATCTAGTATAAAATCAAGCTATTTTGCATGATATGTGGTTTTATATAGATGGTTTCTCTTTTAGACTAGAATGGCTGAGTTGTCCTCTTAGAAGAGTAAAGAGAAAAGCTGTACAATTTAAATGTGTTCAAAAATTCAGATGTCATAATTAGGGTAGTTGTTATTAAGAAACTGTGTTTTACAACACCAGAAAATGAATTCATCTCAAGAGAATCTGTGACACCTGAAAACAAGAGGTTGTCACTACCCTGATTTTTTTTTTATAGTCACTTAAACTCTTGCACTGTGGTGTATTTTATTTACTGTATTTTACTGCAGCAGTTCCTAAGAACTCCAGTCAGACACTGTGTAAAGTATTTTGCACATTCAGAGCAGAACAAACTCTCTGCATCATAAACCTTACAATCTAGGTAAAAAGGCTCCAATATTTATATACTTATTTTGAAGAAAATGAGAATGTAAGCACAACCAAAGGCCGATTTCCACGAAACCGAGTGAAGGCAAGCAGAACAATCTATATGTTAGGCAGAGCAGGGAGTGGACTTCTCTTGGAAATAGCCTCTAGTGAGATAAATAATAATAGTAGTGAGATAAATAATTTAAGGCAGAGTATGATTCTTTACAAGTTTAGAGTCTTCCTTTGAGTAAAGGCTTAGTGCTTATGTGTGTTACTTTCATTCAAAGATCTCTGTCCGAATGGGTAAGTATCATTACCCAGGATTTCATAGGTAGTCACTGGCTGGAAATAGAGCCCGGGTCACCAGTCCAACACCCCATGTACAAAATTACACCTCAGTCTTCCATGTCTTTTTTCAAGTACATTGACTGTTTACAGTAAAACTGATCCCCAAACGCCTTTTTTTTTTCTTTTTTTTTAACTTCATGTGGCTGGAGAGGATTCTGTAAGTTTTGACTATTTCACCTCTGTAAGCTTAAAATGCTAAAATACCCAAGTTAATGTTTCATGCTTGTCTAATGTTATAACTCATATTAAGAGGATGACTTGGTGGGAATAAATAGTGCAGTTCATTACTTACGAAGTGGGGCTTTGCTTCTGGAGCACAAGTGGATACATGGGTATGGAATGTGATGCTGCTGAGTTTCCAGCTGTCTGTTTCAGTTCCATTAGAGAGACAAAATAAGTTATGTTAGGAGTATAATCCTTTAGACCAGTATATTCCTTACCTGCGTATTCTCTTTTTGTAGACAGTACTTAAGGTTTTGGCCTTCTGAGTTGGTTTTGTTTTTTTTTTAAAACCATTTTTTATTTGCGTATCATATACCTATAATTGTTAAGGGCTTTTATAACAAAAGTTTCTTGCTGAGCGTGACCCATCAAAGGTACTACAGTATGTTGAGGCCCTCAGGAAGAACTCTGGTTTATCAGGCTGTTGTGCGGAGAAAGTTGATGGCACAAGTCTAGTGAGCCAGTTGAATTTCTTTGATGTTTCCAGGTCAATTTTAAATTGTGACTCTAGGGAACTTTCAAATATCTGTAGGATACGAACATCCTGAACTAGAGGTGCTAGAAAGTCAAAGGAATTGCAAGGAAGGGATACTTGTGGACAACTTTTTAAGGATGAGGTGAATTGTACTCTGCAGAAGTCTTTTTCCTTCTGTTGGTTATAGAAGGAGCCTAGACTAGATGTCTAACACTTAGACCTCACTGAGATAAATCCTACCTTTGCAGAGAGAGGGGCCTGGCTGAAACTCAGTATGTGAACTCACACTAAATATCCTCTCAGCAAAGCGGCCTTTCTTTGCACAAAATACATTGGTATTGCTTCAGTCTGGTTTATATTGGAAATCCTGAATGGTAGGAATCAAACAAAGAATTAAGGCCAATCCAATACTTGTCCTGATCGATTTATCATATACTAACATCTTGCTGTTCACTTTCCTGTCTGTGAAAGGACCTGTTCTTGTACTTGCCATGGGACCTGGTCCAAAAGGATGTGCTGGAGCGCTAGAGATGGCCCACACTTGTGCTCCTGCCAGCTGGTGTACTGACATCCAAGAGATGGCAGTGAAAAAAAGCTGGAGCAATAACCTCCTCCCCTTCTCAGCCAAAACACAGAATGTATATTCCCTGCCTTTTTGATTAATTATTTGCCATCTGCAGTGTGTCTCTTGGGAATGAGGGGTGAGGTGCAGAGGACAGTTATCCCCAGATAAATAGTATGAAATTTAGAACAAGACCAACATAGCTACTGTTAGGTAGCTCTGCTGGCATTAGAAGCATTCTTTGCTCTGTGGGACATGTATGTTTTTATTCTATAATGAGTTTATGCCATCTGAGATTAAAACTATGAATACGTAAGTCTTACTGGAGAACTATGAGAATGTATTTCTTGCAAAGAAGCTTTTAAATTAATTGCCATTTAATTCTACTCCATTGTTGTAACTCTAAAACGATGCTTTTGGATTAATTTGTAGAAACCAATAGATAAAGTAGGTCACCAACAATAAGAACTTTTAGAGATTTGTAGTAGAATAGTTTTTTCTAATTTATATTGGTTTTAAAATGAATGCTTATTGTTATTTCATTGTTCTGACTTATATGAGTCTATTCAATTTTAATAGGATTTCAGGATTGATGAAACCTAAGAAATTCATTTCATGTATAGTCTTTGTGTTGAATTTCATGCCGTTTTGTATAACTTATCTTAAATAATGCTTCTAAATTCTAAAAAGACTTCATTATGCCTTAGAAGTGTTATCTGGATTAGAGATTGACAGCTGTACAACCCCTGCCATTCCAACAGGTGAAAACCATGGAAAGTGTACACTGATTTAGTATTAGCCTTCATTCAAACCTGAAAAGACAGTACTCAGAGTATGCGTGAAGTATGTGTGAGCTAGTAGCACTGATGCTTTAAAATGTGTTGAATACTGAAAATCACTTCAGATTTATTTATTTCTCTCTTCTCTGCAGCCTGCTGTAGAATACAGAAGTCTTCTGGATAGACTTCACAGACTGGAGCGGGACCTCCTGAAGAGGTTCCTTCTGTTAAAGCAGGAGGAATATTATGCAAAGGCTTATAGACAGCTGGCTGTTACCCAGAGAAAGGAGCTTCATAGTATCTTTTTTACACAGATAACAAATGCTACTTTCAAGGGAGAACTGAAGTTGGAAGCAGCTAAAACATTAGTGGAAGATTACTCTAAAATACAGGTAATAGGATGATAATTCCATTCCTAACCTAATGACAGAATACAAACCCACAGTAACTTTAGAGAAATGTTTCAGGATAAATGTTATCACTTCTATAACTAATTTTCTTAGGAAGAATTTTAAAAAGTGTAGTGCCATCATTATCCACATCTAAACGTCTACACAACTGTATATTGATGCATACGCACAGCCTTTCTCTGCAACAGTGAGTTAGATATATTTGCCACAACATTATGTGCTTAGTGCTGACTTTTGTTTTCATGGGTAATATTTCCAAAGCACCCAAGTGCTTAAAGCTTGTCTTTACTGATCAGGGAAAATAAGACTTGTAGCTCACCTTTATCATGCAGAAGAAACAAGTTTGAAAACATGTCTACACCATGCAGTGGGAAATTGTGTAATATAAGTCCCCAGTTTTGAAGTGAATATTTTGATACATCTGCACATCTTGGAGTTCTGCTAAGCTCCTGAAAGCTCTGTTGGTGCAGCTCTGTCCCTAATCCCTCCCCCACAGGATGGTCTGAGAGCAGATTTGTGCTCGTGCAGCAAACTTCTGGTTCCAGGTCTGCCCTCTCTGGTGTTAATGGGGCCCTCAGCATGGTACAGAAATGCCAGAGTGCCATTTTCAAAAGTAATTTCAGCCCAAATAAAGGGACTTGGGCAACTAAGAGAACAGTTAGGTACCTAAATCTATTTTATGAATGGCATTTTCTAAAGCAGATCAGACACTGTCTAATGAATGATAAGTACCTTTGGATGCCTGTCTGTATAGGCATTTTCAAAACCCCCTAGGTTTTTCTGTACTTCAGAAGATGTACTGAGCCCTGCAATCCAAATGTGTAGGTTATTAAAATTATGCTATGTCTGAAGTGCTATGGTTTTGTACTTTGAGGGGTTGAGTATCTCTAGCTTACGCGGTCAGGGATGCTGATGAAGGGTATGTTCAGAACTTTAGTTTTGGTTTCAGTTACATTTTAAGCCTCTTGCAACAGAATAGCTTCAGTTGTTTCCTCAAGGTTGTGGGTTTTTGGGTTTTTTTTACTCCATTTCTGTTGAAAGTTAGTGTTCTAGATTCAAAAAGTTCTGGGAATTGTTCTTCTGGCTGCTTCTTGAAGAAGAGTATGGTTGTTGTGGTCCTAGAGGTTGGGGGCCTGGAGGTTAAAAAGCAACATCTGGAAAGTAGGTGTCAAAACATGTAAGGCCCACTCCTAAAACTAGATGCACTGTCAGATCTCAGTACAGAAAAGCCACACATGGGCCACTATCAGATGTAGATGCAGCAAGCACTTGTGCAGAAGACAGTTGAGCAGCCAGCAGAAGATAGAGCAAGTGAAAAAAGTTTTGACAATGCTTTGGCTGCTCAGACATGGGTCACCTAAGTATCAGACCTCATCTTGGCTATCTGATGCTAGCAGAATGTCTGCTATAGACCATTGTGCGCCTACCTCCAGTCTCTACCAGACCCACTTGTAGGTACCTAAGCCCTTTCTGTTCCGCACTGTTGGAAGCAGGAACTTCTAAGCCAGCCTGTGTGCAGCGGGCTTGGCTTTCCCCATGCTGTACTGGATACATGTGGAAGACTTATCCTTGGCTTTGAAGTCAATTTAGACACCTTTGAAAATGTTACCCTTTATTTATTTAATCATACAACACATTGTAAAGAAAAGGGGGGGGGGGAGAAAAGGAGGACATGATGCCACTTACTGCTGTTACTGGACACACGCTGTCTTCAGGTCCCAGTTCAAGAAGACCTTTCAGCCTGTAGATAGTTTTAAGCAGGAACAGTTCTACTAACACTGGTAGGGTTGCATGTGTGTTTAATTGTGGGTACCTGATCAAATGACCTGTTAACTTAGGGCTCTCAGGAGGTGCACTGACTATTCAGGAGAGTACACACAATATTGAGGTATTCGGGCCAAAAGCTCAGCCATTATTTATTTTGTTTTGTTGAAATAACAGTCATAATTTGACATAATCATTAAGTTGATATAAGCTTACTGTTTTTCACTTGTAAGAGCTTTTTAACTTTGCCCTGTTAATGAACAAATCTGGTCTGATACCCACAGGTGTTAGCTGAAATTAACATTACATCTAATTAAATATATTTGTTCACATTCTTTCCTGTAGGGAGACATTGAAGAGCTAATGGATTTTTTGCAAGCTAGCAAGAAATATCATCTGAATAGAAGATTTGCTTACAGAGAGTATCTTATAAGTAAGATACAGTTAAGGGATTCTCAAGCCTCTGCTCTTATAACTGCAGCAGCAACCCAGATATCAAGTCTCATTAATAAGATGGAAAGGTGAATATCTCAATTTTTTTCTTGGCAGCCATTTGACTACGTTAGCTCAAAGACAATAGAATACTCTTCAAAAGTCTTTTTGTCTGTGTTACCTAGCAGGAAAGGTGCATAAAAACTTTATCTTTTAAGTTAATTCTAAGAAAATATTTTGTAACTGGTGACTTTGTTAGTTAATATTGCAGCAGATACTACAGTGAGGCTTTGTTGTTTGTGTCCACTTTGTACAGCACAGAGATTAATTGCTGGGAACATGTATAGTACCTGTTCATAATTCTGACTTCAGTGGGAACCAGACTCATGTAAGAGTCTCAATGTCTTTACACATCTGTTATTCATGTAAATAGTCCTCAATCATATGAAAAGTCCTACCAGAGTCCATTGCAACGGGTACCAGTTAAGACCATTTGTCTGGGTTCTTTACATGCAAATATCTGGATTTAACAGTAAAGACCTATTCTGATTCATTTGTGATTGAATGTGTTTGAGGAGCTGGATGTACTCAAGCTGGAAAGCATGAATATTTTCTAAAGAAAATTGACTAAGTTTATAAATAATGTAACTGGGGAGGATCTTGACTAGCGGAAAATACACCTGTTGCAGGGAATATTAAGGTAAAGGTCAGGTGAAGTAAAAAGTAGATCTGGAAATGGACTGTTGTAATACACTCATTTAATTTATTTGGGATATTACACCAGATCCAGGCTGATTCAAGTACTCTATGTGAGGATACTCATAGTCAAGGTAGAGAGAGAGAAATGGTGACTTACCAGAGACATAGTTATTTAAAATCACGTGGCAATGTGGAGCACTGAGAGGCCTCTTGCTGCTACCCAGAGAATTGTGGCATATCTTAGTTTGGCATACAGAGAGATTACTGAGGAGCACGCCAGTGCAGTAAAATACGTTAGTGGGCAGGAAAACAACCTCGCACTGCTGCTGTTGATCCTGTGCATGCAGCTTTATGTGCATATTTTAGATGTCTATTACTGTCACTCACTGACAACGTGTGGAACATGCATTAAGAGAACAAGTATAAATATCAGTCTTTACATTGTGTTTTTTCTTTCGTAATGTTGACTTAATTTAAAAGTAATTTAATATTAGGAAGCAGGAAGTCTGTTAAAAGCTACCGAAGATTGCATCTGTTGTTATGATAAAGTCATTTACCTGGAGTTTTTTTGTAACTTTTCCTTGCTCTTCTTTTTGATTGTCCTGTGTGCTGCCTCATTGGAATCATACCCTAAGTTTAGCCTCAAGATTCGTTGATCAGAGAGAGGTTCTTCCAGTATGCTTGCACCCTTTGCCTTTTTTGCAAACATCTGCAGCTATGTGGCTCAAAGACAAAAATAAATGTCTTGGCATAGGAAATATAATTCAGGTACGCCTTTCACAGAGAGTTCCCTTCCATCAGTTCATGCTGCTCTTTGGAATCGGATTGTGAGAAAAGTTCTGAGATGTTTTCACAGATGTTGTGGTTATGTGAAAAGCCTTCGTGAGAAGCCCTTACCTGTATGACCACTGCATCCGTGGCTTAAATCATTGCAGTGAACAACTGGGACTTCTCAAGCTGGAAAAGTAGGTTTTACTCATTGTTTTGTGCCTGTTATTGCACCTAACAGTCACAAAACAGATCAACTACAAAACAGAGAGAACATGTGTAGTATTAGTAATCCAAGACCTCATGGATCTCATCCCAAAAATGTACAAAAAAAAAAATACTACCCAAAAACTTCCAAAACCAACAAGCATCATTACCAAGATGAAAAATTAATTTTTCTAGCATTCCCCTATTAAACTTCTCAGAGTATGCAATGATCGTAGTTCTCTGCGGACGAAGGAAACTTGTCCATAGTTGGAGACAGCATTTGTAGAGTAACAATCTCATCTGACTTTCTGGGACTAGAACTAGTTATTTTCCTCTAACTTCCCACACCTGCTGCAGCAGGAATTCCTTTCAGGCAAATGTTGGCCAAACTGTTATGTTACTATTCATTCTCTAGCTATTGAGATTATGAAATTCCAGAATGTAGTATTTCAGATTATTTGCTAGTCTTTTTTTTTTTTTCCTACAGGCAAACTGAAATATCCTAATATAAACCCCGAGGAAGTTACAATCTATGCTAGGTAGGCTTGTATTTTAGTTTCTAATTATAAAGTGATTTAGGGAATATTTACAAATTGGAGCATTAAAATTTGAGCAGCAAGAGAAGTCTGGTCTGAATGTCTGGTACTTTAAATTTGTATCCATAATATCCTCTTATTTTTCACTTTAGCATTGAATCTGCTTGTTTAAATATAGATACAGGTCTGTTTTAATCTATTGTGTCCAGCTTTAATAGTGTGCCTTAAACTTACTGTTATAAATGGAATTTTAAAATGCAGAACTGTTTGTAGGGAGAAGAGAAACTGAGAAAAGATGTAGATTAGATATACCACAGATAAACAGATTCAGGAATACATAAACCAGCAGATAAATGATGAGGAGAGAGGTCTTTTAAAAATGGAGCGTAGTAGGATGTTTAAAATTTAGCAGATAGCAAGGCAATTTCAAATTGTATGAAAAAGATTCTGTGCGGCCAGAAACAAAGGTTATAAAAAGCAAAATAAAACCAAACAAATTCTAGGGAGGGTTGTGAACATTTTAAATGAAATAGAGCAGCCAGTTTTCAAGCTGGGCTTTCTAAAGATAGTATTTAAATAAAATGTCCTGTTTGTCAGGACTGGCTGGGGGTTCTCAGTGCCTTTGGAAATCAAATCCATGGACTGCAGTGCCAAAAGACAGGAAAGCAAGTTTTAAAATATAATCCGTAATGATACATTTCAGGGATGTCTAGCTAGGCTTTTTGTGTTTTCCCTTAAAGAATAAATGGGCAGGAGGGCAATACTTGAGGCAGTATTTATCCTGGGTTGTTCCGGCTATCCCCAGAGGCACGAGATTTTCGATGTTTTTGAACTACAGCAGCTGTAACATGTTGCATCATTCTTTTGCCAGTATCTGCTTGTTCACAAGAAGTTTTCTTCCTTCTTTGGTCTCTTAAAAACTGAATCCGTTTCTGCTGACTCGCTAGGTATGAACAACTCAAGCTCCTTTATAAATTTCTCCCCAAATTTTAATTTTTATAAGACCTCAAGCACTTCTTGTGATCTGTGCTTTTAAAGTAGGCAATTGATTAACTTTGACATAAAAGTTCAAAGCAAAATATCTCTTATTGGTCTCTTACTTACTCTTCTGAATAATCTCAGTTTATATGGACCTTGTTATAAGCAAAGTAATTTTCTGAAGAGTATCCTGCTGGACCTTTCAGTGAGTTGGTATTGGAAAGTGAATGCCTCCAGCAGTAATGCATTAGTATAAAGTTTTCTAATAATCTCTTAAAACCTTTTCTGCTTGTAGCACTTGGCTATGTAGAGCATTTATTGCTCTGAATTATTTACCTAAAGTTTGATTTTTGGGCACTTTCAAGGTGCAGGTGAAATCCTGAAGTACCTGAGGCAGAGTAACGTGGGCACTGTCTTGCAAGTTCTCTCTGTATAGTCTCTGCATAGTGCTGTGGTTCAGCCTCTGTGTACATCCAGGCCGGTACAACTTTCCTGTTTCACACCTATCTTCCTTATGTTTTAGTGACGCTCCCGTGCCTTCTCTAGCTTTCATAAAACAATCTTCCTTCGCTGGGGTCCAGCATCACTTAGATAGTTCTCCATAGCATCAAATACAAACTACTACTTTTTACTTTTAGTGCCCTCACTTCACACTTTCTCCTAATTTTGTTGGCTTTCATTCAGTACAGAGAAGTCAAGGTCTGCCTCTGATTGACCTATGATGCTGCTGCTGTTGGCCACACACTTCATCTCTGTTCCTTCCATGGTGCTTGCTGCATTTCGGAGGATCTCCCTGTAAACATCCTTGTCATTAGTGCAGTATTCTCCTTCATTAAAATTCTCCTTGTTCAAAGACATTAAACATGTGCCTGCACATTTCTTCAGTGATTAGATGTCCGGTATGCTGAGACCAAGCAGTTTATCATACAGTCTATACTGTCTCACTATCTTTCTCTTCTCCTTTTATTTTGTGTTTCAGTTCAGAGTCCTTCAGGAACAAGGACATCTTTTAATTCTAATACTGTAGTTGTTTTTATACTGTATTTATATGAAACCAGAAATGAAGGTCTCTTGCCAGGATTGAGCCTTCTAGGAATTATTGTAATACTGATTAATGTGAGTAAGTTGCCACATAAACTCCCATAGACTTCTGTGGTGGTAGGCATTTTGCCCATTATTTTTGTTATCTGGGATTTTTAAATAAGTAGATTCCAAATAAATAAAGAGATAGGTTTTACAATACTGCATCACCTTCAGTTTGAGCTGTGGACATATTGGATCTAAAAATAAATCAACAACCTGAAACTGAAATAATGTAGACTTTTTTTTTTTCTTCTTCATCCTAAGAATAGGTAGGTATATATCATAAGAATAGGTAGGTATATATCATCTTCCAGTCATTCTGTGTTGCATGGCTTTTCCTGTATCTTTCATGGGCTGGATGGTTCCAGCACATCTGTCTTTCTCTATTGCAGCCAGAAAGTGTTTGGACAACATGCAGGTTCAGGTCAGGAATTGGTGCTTTCTACTCAAAGTTCTGTGTTGTCCTTTTCGACCCCACATTTTGGAAGTCCACTGTGTTTAATATTAGAAATTATAACTCACAAATGTCCAACAGCCTGGTCTGAATTAAGATGTTCTTTTATTCTTCTGTTGTCTGAGAAGGATTTGGGGAATTTCTGGTGTAAATATAATAGCAGGTAATTTTTGAAACTCAATTTGAGTTTGTGGAGAAGGAGGTTTTTCTAACTGTTGCAGGCATGGTTGGGATCTTGCTTACTCTTTGAAATTAAATACTGTAGCAACTGGAGGTAGACTGTAGTCTTAAACTTCCATTTGAAAGCACTGTGTGCTTAAGACTGAGAATTTGCTCTGTTAGATTATTGTCTTTCATGATTAGTTTGAAATCGTTATAATTTTTCGATGATGTAAATGTAATAGGAAATCTGAATATAAATCTTTTCATGGATATGATTGCTTTATATCTTTAAAATAATTTTTAATTGTTTTTACTTGATTAGATTACATCCTTTAAAGAGAAAATTGTTTCTAATGAGGAGAAGGAGTTATAAAAGACATCTAGAATTGCATTCCAGGGGCATTAAATGAAAAATGTAAATATTATGAATAATATATAAGGTTTAAAATGTCTCATTTGAATATCGCTTACATTACTAACTGATATGTAATTGGTTTTGCATTTGCTTTCCCTTTCTTCCTTCTTCCTGTTCCTTCTTCATACACCTTCACTCTACCTTCACAAACTGCCTCAATTCTACACTCATCTCTGAGATTGTCTTTCTGTTATCCACTTGCTTGTTTGATCCCCCCAGGTACCACTGCTAAAGAAACAAATATCATTTTGTGTGTCTACTTTGTTGAGCCTTATTATGGTACTAATTGCCTCTAATATCCTTTTGCTCTTAAGAATTTGGGGTAACAGGCTTCAAACACTGTTATTACAGAGCAGGTCATCTACCTGAAAGTCATTTGGGAGTGCTGCTGGACCGAGCTGAGGCTGAAATTAATTCTGTTAAGCAGAAATTCGATCATGATTTAAAACAAGAAAAGCAAAAGCTTCACCAGAAACTCATTACCAAGCGAAGGCGGGAAATGCTACAAAAGGTAATTATTTTCAGTATATTTATTTTCACAGGGCTTATCATGAATTAAAAATGGAATGAATTGAAAAATAAAGTGTAGTTCTTAGGACAGGTGTCAACACTGTCAGCAGCATGGATGAAAATAAGTGTCCATTGTTTTTAGCTGTGTACTGCCATGTGCTGTATTAATTATGCAGTAATTAATAGCTATTCTTTTAGAAAAACCTGCAAGAAAGTAACATAGCTGGAGAAACTTGTGAAGGCCCTCTACTTAGTCTAACCTGTCCAAGGGGGTTATGACAAGCCTCTGTAATGTGCAGACAGGCAAAAGCCAACTGAGGTTCTGGAGTCGGTGAGGGAGATGACACAGATCTGTGACAGTCGTCGTTTTCTGTGGGTTTCCTGGCTATGTGTGTTGTGTCATGCGAACGACTTCTACAGTATAGTTAAAATTCAGCTACAAAACAAAACTATGTAAAAGATGCTGTACCTATGGCTGCTTGTGGTAGGACTCATGTCACCTAACCTCAGCCATCTAAAAATCAAGGCTAGCTCCAAGAGCTCCAAATCATCTCGTAATGGAAGATGACTTGCAGGTGATCTGAGATAAATTGAAGGGAGTTGCTATCCAAAGGTCCCTATCTTTCTCTGCCTAAAGTATGTAGAAAAAACTGTCTTGGATTAGGTGATATTTCTTTAGATGACCAAGTTAGGTGAGATTAATTTTACCTTTTGTAGGATATGTGTTTCAGTGTTTTCTGCTCTTTAACAGATATCAGTGCAAGAAAAGACAGCAGGTATAACAATGGAGACTTCATTTGTTGTATTTATTCTCAGTATAGGTGGCTTTGGTTTAGCTTTCCATTTAGCTGCATGCTGTAAGATGGGGAAAATAAAATAAAAAAAAACCCAACTTTTTTTTCCTCTTTTTTTTTTTTAAATTTTTTTGGTCCTTCTTTTTCTTCCTTTTCTTCCTTGGTATTTGATCCAGATTCACTTCTGGAACGCTGCCAGATCATTACAGTTCAGCCAGTTGGGATTATGTCAAACCACAAGATCATGCATTTGTTTAGGTGTTAGCCCTTCTATCTAACAATAAGATGAATTATCACAGGCCTGCTAGGTGCACACAAAACCATCATGTTGAGGGCTAGGTAAGTCTCTGGACACTGAAAAGCAGTTTTGAGAACACTGAAAAACAAAAGTATGAAATTTTGTGTTGCTATGAAATACATATTTAAAGAGCTAGAATTTGAGATGTTCCTTCTCTTAACCTTGTTCCTCCTTTTTGCAAATGAATCAGCAGAAAGAGCATCGGAAGGAGCAGCTGTCACTTGGAGACCCCTTCAAAACTACTAAGGAGGTCACTCACTACCTGAACCACTGGAAAAATCTTCTGAGTGATCACACCGTTGAATTTGAAGAACTTAATAAAAAGCTTGACAATGAGGCCAGTGAAGAGCTGAAAGAGCTGCTATTTAGTCTAACAGAGAAAACTGTTGAAGAGCTTAAACGTGTTCAGTATGGAGTATTTGTGCAAGAACTGGTAAAGCTCAGTGTGCCAAAGATGTTCCTGCTGGAAGCTGTGGAGGAGCATAAAAAAGAGATGGTTGTTAAACATGAACAGCTTGAGAGGGAAGAGCGTGACAAGAGCATGGCTGCTGAAGAGCTGCTTCAGCTCATCGGGCAGAAGCTGAGCCAAGAACTGGAAACGAGACTTTTGGAACAAAAAAAATTAAGGAGCTGGGAACAATCAGTATTCATGCAAGTATCTCTGTACCCTTTTTCTTAGTTATTCTTGCAAATAGAGATGAACTAGGAGTTTTCACACCTGTCTGGGTATAAGTCCTAATCAGGTCAGTTCTCTGTTGTACACTTGGGAATTGATTTTTTCACAAGCGCTCAGCCCCTGCAGTGCCGGTGGGTGAGCCAGTACTCCTAGCGCTGCAGTGAAAATCCCAGGAAATGGCAGTTTTGAAACTAAAAAGGTGAAGTGTTTTTTATACCTCTGTTCACTCTGTGTCAGGTTTCACTTGCACATCTTTTGTTATTATTCTTAGTCTGTTCTCAGAGGTCCAGCACGGAGCTGGGAACAATCAGTATTCATGCAAGTATCTCTGTACCCTTTTCTTAGTTATTCTTGCAAATAGAGATGAACTAGGAGTTTTCACACCTGTCTGGGTATAAGTCCTAATCAGGTCAGTTCTCTGTTGTACACTTGGGAATTGATTTTTTCACAAGCGCTCAGCCCCTGCAGTGCCAGTGGGTGAGCCAGTACTCCTAGTGCTGCAGTGGAAATCCCAGGAAATGGCAGTTTTGAAACTAAAAAGGTGAAGTGTTTTTTATACCTCTGTTCACTCTGTGTCAGGTTTCACTTGCACATCTTTTGTTATTATTCTTAGTCTGTTCTCAGAGGTCCAGCACTTTGGAAATGTCATTTAGTATGTCAGGCCTAATTAGCCCCACGTTCAATTTCGATATATTCCTTCCAGCCACAAGGCAAGCCTTACTCATCGGGTGCTCATTTTAGCTCTGCCACAGTATTTCCCCGTATTTCATAAACACAGAGCACAGTAGTGTACCTCTCCAGCTCACGGGCTCCACACATCAGACTTGGCCGATCTGGCCTGCTGACAAAGTGCCCCTGGCACCAAGCCCCAAGCCAGAGAGGTGTCATGGCATGGGCAATTTTGCAGAGAGGTTTGCTGGCCCCGGACATGCGTTTTGGCCATCACTGCCTGCTATGATGTGACCCTGGGGAGGTGGGAAAGCAAGTGGTGGCCTTGCCACCACTGGGAGACTTTGTTCAGGGAGAGACCGTGACTACAGCCGAGAGTTGACATGCGTGGTGCCTCTCAGACTGGGCAGCAAGGTCCCTGAGAGATTTGCACCATTCGTTAACATTTCTTCTTAGCTTTCAAGTACATTTATGACTAGTTGTTGTATTACCTGAATATTTACACTACTACATTTCCTATACAATGTCCATTTAATAACAGACATTGTTAGACATGGGAACATGAAAATAGTCTTCTGTCAAAATTGCAGCTTTAGGGGAAGCAACTGGAACAGGAAAACCTGTATTAGGCTGTCTGCCCCTGGAACAAATGGACTGGGCATGAGAAATTGAATGGGGGGGGGGAAAGAAGCATTAGTTAAGGTTTCTCCTTCGTACCTCTTCTTTAAAGCAAAACAGATTTGCATGGGCACTTTTGTCCAGACAGCATCTTTGTAAGTTTGCCTGCTGCAGTGTCAAACCATATAAAAGAAATATGAAAAGAAACCTTGCCCATTGCATGTGTGCTTTGTTAAAGGAAAAAAAATCCATTTGTCTTGTTTTCGTTCTAATTTCAAGGCCTTTGTATTTTATTCAGCATTTTAAATACTTTTATATAAGCCATTTCAATGTAGTTTCTAGCTTGTCTTATTGTCTCTTATTTATATTGCTGTGAGCAGACCTGCACGAGCCGGGAAGTAGATTGTATGACCCAGCAGGTCTTTCCTATTTCTGACTTAGGATTCCACGATCATTGTGTTCCAGCCTGCAGTGTTGCCAGTTGTATTTGTTAAATGCTATCTTTATTTACAGCAACAGTAAGCTGTTTGTTTTTTTCCCCGGTAAAATGCTGGAAAATACAAACAAAAAAAGCAGCATTTGCACAACTGTTCTATCAAAAGCCCCTTAAAATCTGTCACTGTCTTTATGTTCAGTCCACTGTCTGTCAATTTTGATATTTCTATGACAGATGCCAGCTCTCATGTTTATGTTCTCATCTGCTATCTAGTTTTCACAAAGAATTATTTTGAATGATAGCTTTTAATTTTTGTTGCTTATCAAATAGACCATGATTTAGTCCAAAATATTTAAGAAGATCATTAATGCTTAAAGTCCTTTTTAAACATGGACGTGACAAAACTGTGATTTGCTGTGTTTTCTTTTATATCTCTGTCTATATATCTGTATATATGGATATATATTGTATGAATTTTCTTCTAAAAGTCTAAGCCAACATGAGAAATGGTTAAGTAGACTGTAAATGCTTGCTTGGAGTAATATTGCCTTAAAGTAATTTTTTGAAAAGAAAAACTTTATGCATTAAAAATGTTTTAATTTAGGATTTAGCTGTACTTTGCTGAATCAGTAAACAGAAATAGGGATTTCTAAACTCGGAAATATTTTAGTGAAATGATGAGGTGGTATAGGCCTGTGATATACTGAATAAAAACATCAGTCCTAATGGAACATACAGTATAATATTTTTTTAAAAGAAAACTACTGTTTTAAAAATACACTGTTCATGCTTTAAATACAAAGACATTTTTTGGGAAATAGAGAAAATTTCCAAACAAAAAATTATGCTATTTTTTATTAAATACTCTTAAGGAAATATTTCAGTCACAAGATAAGATGATGAATGTAGTCTAAGGTTAGTCACAACGGGAAGATTGATTTAGGCTTTAGCATGCTTTATTTTTTAAGTCAACTTGAGCTTGACCTGAGGATCAGTTCCCCAGACTTCTGTGTTGAGAACCAACCTTCTACAAAACGGGAACTTTGAGTGATTCAAATTGCTGCTAAAATATATTCCGTGTTGTTCAGATTGCTAAAAGCTTTTTTACAAAGAACAGGTGGAACCCTTGTGACTTGGTGATGGGAGGGATGACATATATGAGTTTATCATAAAGAGATACTTTTTTATTGTATTTTTTTCCCTTCTCAGTAGCTGTGTCTGCTAAGTGCTGGGAAACAGCACAGGGAGGCTTTACAGGAAGCTTTTATCTCGATTTCAGCCCGAAGTTCAGGGTTTATATTGTCTGAAGATGTGGAAGGATAGGAAATGTGCTAGAAATTATTTATTTATTTTTTGAATATTCAAAAACTGTTTCCCCTTGAAAATGAACTTTCACAGTCCAGGAAGTTCTGTATGCAGAATTTAAAGTATCCTCAAGGATATTTTGAACATGCTGAGCAGCTCAGTCCTATGTGTGGAATCATTAACTGATGTATGAATAAGACAAAAAAGGATGATCATTGTCATGTAAAGTATTTGTGTGCATGTCTCTCACATTTTATGTAAAATTGTCTATATCACTGAACAGCAAATAACTTCCGCTTTTTTAACAGGCAGCTTCTAAGTTTACCCCTCTCACTATCAGAAGAGGAATTGCTTAGAATGAGGCAAGAGCTGCACTGCTGCTTTTCTCAGGTGGACAGCAGCTTGGCTTGGCCTAAGATAAGAGCCAGAACCTTGCTTCAGGCTTTTGAGGTGGAGCGGAGGAACACAGAACTGCTGAAAGTGGATCAGAATTCAGCAATGACCAGTAAACAGGTGGGAACGATGTGGGATCAGTGCGGGGATGTGCAAGGGGTTCATGGGTGTATCCGCAGGTTGTTGGCCTCGGCTGCAGATACGGGTCCATAGCTTCTCCATAGGTGTGACAGTGGTGCACACTTCTGCCTGTGTGGATCGGTGGACCGTAATGGTAATTGATTGGGTAGCATTTGGGTAAATATTTTCTTCACGTACGCCTGCATATTTCTGCTGCTTGCATGTCCTCCAGCTTTCCCAAGAAGGCATAGGTATAAAGAAGTAGATGGGTGGCCAAAAGGGGCTGCATCTCTGAGGAGAGTCAACTGAAATGCCAAAAATTGGAGCAGTGCTGAGTCTGGCTCTGAATGTCAGGGACAAGTTGGGTCCTTTACAGCCCCAACTGAGGTTTCTCTGGCAGCCCCTACACAGTACTAAATTTGGCACTAAATCAAGGAAAGATTTAGGGAGTTTTTTTAGGGGAATGTCCTACACTGTCTTGTCCATGTAGGAAAGGGGTGAGGGGTGTTAATTCCTTCAGTAAAATGTAAAACCTGTGGAATCATAAATTATTTTCAGTTCTTAAATAGGAGGGAAAAAAGTGTTTCCTGTATGAATTGTATCTGATACCATCATAAAAAGGAGGACTTTCCCTTGCTTTGTTTTTGTTCAGTTATGTTTTCTAAATGTGTAAACTAACTTGGGTTAATTGTACTAGGAATTAGCCTGGTTCAAAACCCTAATAATTCCTAAAGTACTAAAGAAGGCAAATGACTTTGCAAAGCCTTATAGTTGAACAGATGTTATAATTTCCCCAAAAGTACATTATACTTAGTTGATATTCTTGTAAAGAAATATAAAGGTCAAGAATAATTTGATTACATGGAACGGTGCCCCTTAAGACTATCATGGTTCATTTGTCATTCATATACTGTGTCTTGAAAACAATGTAGTTCTTAAATTAATATTCTTTGTTCATTTGTAACCATACTGAGGAGACAACATATCAGTTAAAATCTTCTTATCACTGCTAAAGCTTGTTTTAAATCAGATTTATGTGCTAGCAGTTTTCATGGAAAGGGTGAATACATAATTCTGCTTGAAAGAAAGTAAAAACGAAATTTCCAACTTTGTCTGAATGTCTGAAAGGAATCTTCTGAATCAATAGGCAGCACCTTCATTTCAGAAATGTTTTCTCAGTGAAAGTCGTCCTTGCCAAGTGTTCCATTAATTGGTGGATCTGCCAATAATAGCAAGTAATAATCTTAATGTTAGCACCCTCATAATACCTCTTAGAAATAAAGCATTTTGTGCTTATCTTCTTACAGCAGCATTCTAAAATGAAAAAAACAGGATCCAGGAATAGAAGTAAGATAGATATTCTGAAGAAATCTTTACAGGACAAAATTCTCATTTATGAAGACTCGGTGAAAGATGAAAATTTGAGTAAGGTAAGTGCAAACTTTTTCTGTACTGAGGTCAAAACCTAGATCTTTAGTAATTAAAGAATGACAGTTTTCTATCAATGTGAATAAGAACCAGATAAAAAAGGTGTAGTGACATGATGCATCTCTCTACTCTTGCATGCATTTTGTCAAGATGTTGTATTTCAAGCTTAACAGTTTAGGCTATGTTTTAATTTTTGCACCTTAGTTACAGAACTGATTTTATGTCTCACCCTTTTTTCTTCCGGTGGTTCTGGGGCTTGGCGTCTGCATGACTGCAAGACTCCGCTAGATCCTGTGGTTTCCTTAGTAAGGCTTTCAAAACATAGTCATAGAATAGTTTGGGTTGGAAGAGACCTTTAAAGGTCATCTAGTCCAAAGCCCCTGCAGTGAGCAGCGACATCTTCAACTAGATCAGATTGCTCAGAGCCTAGTCCAGCCTGACCTTGAATGTTTCCAGGGATTGGGCATCCACCACCTCTCTGGGCAGCCTGTTCCAGTGTTTCACCACCCTCAGCGTAAAAAATGTCTTCCTTATATATAGTCTAAATCTACCCTCTTTTAGTTTAAAACCATTACCTCTTGTCCTATTGCTACAGGCCCTACTAAAAAGTTTGTCCCCATCTTTCTTATAAGCCCCCTCTAAATATTGAAAGGCCACAATAAGGTCTCCCCAGAGCCTTCTCTTCCCCAGGCTGAACAACCCCAACTCTCTCGGCCTTTCTTGCTGAGGGCTCCAGAGCTGGACGCAGTACTGCAGGTGGGGTCTCACCAGAGCAGAGTAGAAGGGCAGAATCACCTCCCTCGACCTGCTGGCCACGCTGCTTTTGATGCAGCCCAGGATACGGTTGGCTTTCTGGGCTGCGAGTGCACATTGCTGGAAGGTGCTTCACTGCATACTTTGGCTGAGCAAGATTTAGTTCTTGGACCTCTCCTGATGCTACTGAAAACCCAGAAATGGGTTCTTAGATCCGAAGACTTCTTGGGTAGGGGATGAGTTTATTTGTACAGAGCTTATTGAAAGGGAGCCTTGATTCTGGTGGGTATCTTTTAAAAGGCACACAGCCCCAGTCTGAAATTAATCCTTAGGGAATGAGTGGGGCCTATGCCAATATGGGATTTTGGAGGCTTTTTCCTTCTCTGCCAGCAGATGTTCCATGAGGTCTTGTTCGTGTTCCTTAACCTTTCTCTCCTTCTTTTTCCCACTTGTAAAGTATGGGTAATATTACTTTTGTATATCAGAAGAATGTTACAATGATAACTGTGTTAGACATAGGTGGTGCGCAGCTATAAGAACTATGCAGAACAAGCAGGTGCCATTGGTAGTTAAAATTGGTAGATAAAAATAGTTTCACAAATGATTGCAATATCAAATTTAGTACCAATTTGGACAAAATTCTGTTTTTTACACCTCTTTCCTGTGCTTTTTATACTTGTATCCTGAGGAATGAAAAATACTGGGTCAACATGTTTATTCAGAAATAATTTCACTTTTATGGGAGAGCAACACATTGTTAGTATTGGTTGCAGATGATAAAAGCAAATGTTTTATCTAGTCCAGCACACAGTCTTTGAAAGTGAGAGCAGGTGCTTGGGCAAGAATGCAACAAGTGGGCAAGTGTGTTCTGGCACTCTTTAATAATTTAATAACTGTGGTCCAAGAATGCCCTAATCCTTTAATGGAGGTATTTAAACTTTTGGCTGCAATACCTAATGCCCTGACCTCCAAGATTTAGATTTATTTTTTTTTCCTGTGTACTGTTACTTGAAAGTACCACGGAGTATGGGCTAAGCTCTTATATTACAAAAGGTACTGAATACTTGTACTGAATACTTGTTTGGTATGAATATTGCCTTACATTTTTGTTTAAATCTTGTTTTAAAATTGGAAAGTTAGCTTCTTTAAGCCCCATTGTTTCGGTTTTATATACACCATCTGGCATACCTGTGTTGTTCTAATTGTATGGCTGCAGATTAGTTATAAAAAGCCAAATGCTTTGGGCTTTTCCCAATACAGAAGCTAAACTATTGTTAAAGAAAATCGTTAGTTCTCACATTATCATTAGGACACAGAAGTATTGCAATAAACCTTATGCTGATCACAGAAGTAGAGTTTCTTTCTTTTGGCTGTTACCTTGTTCCTCATTTAGAATCTTACACTTCTAAATTTTGCATTAATGTGAACACTTTTATCATCTAACTCAAAATTAACCATCTAAAGTTGCACAACCATTTCAAGGCAGGGAAAAAGGACGATGGAGCAATACAGCTCTGCTGTATTTCTGCCTTTGCTGCTGCCATTCTCCTGCAGACTTCACACGGTGTCGTGGGTTCTGTCTCACTACAGGATGGCTGTAAAATGGTTTCCAGCTAATGCTTATGAAAGCAGCAGCAGGATGTGTTTTGTAACACTGTAAAACAGGTGTGACAGAGAAGAACAACTCAGCCAGGAGGTAGTGAGCTGGGGGGCCATGGCAAGAAGTTTGAAGCCTAGTCTTGGAGCACCCAAGACTATCATTGACTTTGCTGTGAAAATCCTCAAAAGCAGGCTATATCTACTTCTTTCGTGTTTCATAGCTGTTTTGAGCTGCCTTGTGCGTGAGGAAGTAGCTGTTCCTTTCTGAAATAGCAGTTACCTATCTCAGAAGAAACACAGTGGTAAAAATACTGACATTCTTTAGTCTATTTTCCCTGACGGGCTTAAAAAAACCCAATAATAAGACTGGCATGAGAAATGTCTTCAGGGTTGCAGGTAATCAAGTACATTTTCAGATTATTCCCTTTATTTGTAATATTTAGGACTGAGACTAGTTAGCAATTAGTCTGAACTAAATGTGGAATTTAGAAGTCAGTGCTTTCAAGCAATGGACTAATCATAGTGCATTTACAGCATTGACAATTTTTGTGTAGTTTGGATGTTTCAGATGGAATCAGCAGCAAATATTCAGACCTACGGGAGCTGATTCATCATAACCAAGGTAGTTTGACGCTCAGATAATATTAAGTCAAGCAGTATTTTACAGTCTTCTGTTTGATATGATAAAAGGCTTCAAGAATGGCCAGGGGATATTAGTTTATAACCAGTTATTATTTAGTTTGTAATCAATATTTGATCCAGTTTCTACTGAAGTCACCTTCTATGTCACACTGAAGTCAGGCCTACTTGAAAGCTTTGATTTTCACAAATGTATTTCTGTTTGCAGAGCTGTGATTTCAGAGCTGACAAGAGGCAGAAAGAAACTCAGGTGGCTAGGGGTAGATAGTAGTACCAGTTGAGTAATGCAACATTTTGTTTGGTTAAGAGCAGTTAATTTACTGTATAATGTTGAATAGATGCTGAATGATAAAGCTGAATGTCATTCCCATGTATTCAGGCATGCTTAACGTATGGCTTCGTACTTAGTAATATGCAAATAGTATCTAGTTTTTCAGTTTGGACCATAAATCTTATGATTCATGGAATATACTGAACATATCATATAAGCTTCCACTTCAAGTGGTTGACAGAAGTATAAGTGTTTCGGTCATCAATGTCATCTCTTTTGCCTTTGAATTTAGCTGCAATTAAAATACACATTCTTGTGTCTCCTTATAAGTGAACTCTGAGTTGTCAAACTGCATTTCCATCCTTATTCATTATTCATTTTAATGGGCTCAAACTTACACTAAAGGTGATCACTCATTTACTCATTCATCTATTCATTATTCATTCATTCCTCCATCCCCAGATTTCAGGTATGTATAATTCATTTAAAATCCTTGTGTCTGAAGCTGAGTCTCCTGTGAAGAAAGAAGCAAACTTTAAATTCAGTTGTGTGCACACACCTGTCAACACATTTGTGTAATTTTTTTTATCTGCATTTTTAAAGGTTTATGGCACATCCTGTCCCTAAACCACAAAGGCAGCCTTCAGATATTACTTACTAATTTTGTGTCATAGAAAACAAATCATACTGCAAGCATATATTTTCCCCTTTTTTGAGATACTGTAAAAATGTGTGTATTCTGGCAGGAAGTATCTTAGACATGTAAATAAAAGCTGGAAGAAAAGAAGGACCAGCTCCTCAGTGTGTATATGTTGTCATAACTCATTCAAGCTAGTAGTGTTGTAATAATTTCTGTTAGTTAGGAAGCTGCCCTAATACGTTGAATAGGGAGCATCACATAGACTCTCAAGCATTAGTTCTTTTGAAAATGGACCTATTTACTTCTAGTCAGGTAGGTCTGCTTGATTTTTTTTTTTTCCATTCCTTGAATAGGTGCTGTTGTAATGAATATCATAATATGAATCATTTAGTCTCTTGTGACAAAAACATTGGTTGTTCTCATCCATCTTCATTTTCCTGCTTTTAAGTAAACTCAAAACTCAACATTGCCGAAGTTTGGAAAGGTGACTTGTGGCATTAGTTGTCCAACCTGGTTCCTTTCTAGCATGAATTGTGCTTTAAAGTGATGCCAGCTGTAGCGATGCATCTCCCTGAACACCTTGCTAGATAGCAGCTGTTGTTAGCGAAGTATTAAGTGGCTGGCTGAATCGGATATAAATTCCTTGCCTTCTTTTAGAAGCTATTTCTTCTGGTATTTGTTAACGTGTCTGTTTTACTGGTAAGGACTCACTTCCATTCCATCCTCTCTTTAACAATCACCTAAGAGTGCAACAACTTTCCACCGCCGAAAAGAGGGGTGAGGGCAAGTCAATGGAAACTTCGCAAGTAAGACCTTAAAAAATTGGACAGTCAGACAATATGGCTCTGAAAATTGCTAATTGCTTTTGAGAATGTTGTCTTGTGTCACAGCGGTCAGTAGTGTAACAATTAATTCAATGTGCCTTTCAGAACAAAAACTTGTGTCTTATTTGAGAAATTAGTCTTGTGCATAGGCTTTTGAAGAAAGACTTTTTTTATTATTATTATTTTTGTTTTAAATATTTACCTTGGCACTGAGGTGTGGAATAGTCTTGCTTCTAGGCCTTAGTCTTATGTCACTGGCTCATAAGAATATCTTGAAATAACACTTCAGATTTTGAAAATAAATTTGCTTTGACAAGATAAATAAACCAAAACAAACAAACAAACTCCCCCAAAAAGCTGAGCTGGGGTGGGATTGGCTGTCTTGTGCAATCTATATCAAAGTTGTAGGATGTTCTGCGGAAGTTTTTATCTTTGATTTCCGATCGGTGCTGCTAGAGTACAGGGTACCCCTTCGAATGCCTGTGAACTGCTGGACTGTGAGCTTAAATGGAAGATGCTAAAGTTACTTGCTTTTCAGTAAAATGCATTCTACAGAAATCAAAAGGCCTCAAATTCACTTTAATAGGTTTCTTGCCTGCCTGCAAAGAACGTAGACGATATATATAAAAAACTACTATTATTACTATTATTATTATTGATTTTTTTTCCTACTGAAAACTGAAACATAGAAACAAGCAATGGATATTTCTGGATCTATCCTAAGGTAAATATCATCTACTTTTTTTTAACAAGTACTGGAAGGCAGCTCAGCTCTTTTTCCATAAACTCCCAATTTTGGCCATCTCTTATGCTTTTCAGTGGACATCTCTGCCTCCCAAGTTCAAAAATAACAGCTTAGGTTTTAGCAGTTTGGTTACCGTATTTCCAGCATGATCTCTGAGTTGAATTCTCCTCCTAACCCAAATATCCCATATGTTTATTTGTAACCCATATGCTTACTTATTATTTAGTGTCACACATCGGTATTATTCAAGATCGATTTGTTAGATTAAGAGTAATGTTGACAGACAACGTCTGTCTTAAGATGGAGATTTGTTAAAGATATCAAGAAAATTAATCTTGCCTCTACTTTGTGTCTCTACGATGATTTCTTACTCTTGTGTTGTAATTGGCTTAATTCACATTAGTAGGAAATATTTCCTGAAGGTAACCTTCCATCTCTTGCATTCAAGGGCATTCCAGATGATGTAATAGAGACTTTGGAGAATTTCACATGAGCACGAATGAGAATATTACAAGCATATGTGGTTCCAAATCGCATTTTAAATTTAGCTCTATCTACTGGATAAGAGAATTTGTATGATACACAATCACTCTTAGCAGGTCCCTTATCAATAAAATTTCCAGAGAAAATTCATGGGCATCATGTTGATTTTTTTTCCTACTGAAAACTGAAACATAGAAACAAGCAATGGATATTTCTGGATCTATCCTAAGGTAAATATCATCTACTTTTTTTTAACAAGTACTGGAAGGCAGCTCAGCTCTTTTTCCATAAACTCCCAATTTTGGCCATCTCTTATGCTTTTCAGTGGACATCTCTGCCTCCCAAGTTCAAAAATAACAGCTTAGGTTTTAGCAGTTTGGTTACCGTATTTCCAGCATGATCTCTGAGTTGAATTCTCCTCCTAACCCAAATATCCCATATGTTTATTTGTAACCCATATGCTTACTTATTATTTAGTGTCACACATCGGTATTATTCAAGATCGATTTGTTAGATTAAGAGTAATGTTGACAGACAACGTCTGTCTTAAGATGGAGATTTGTTAAAGATATCAAGAAAATTAATCTTGCCTCTACTTTGTGTCTCTACGATGATTTCTTACTCTTGTGTTGTAATTGGCTTAATTCACATTAGTAGGAAATATTTCCTGAAGGTAACCTTCCATCTCTTGCATTCAAGGGCATTCCAGATGATGTAATAGAGACTTTGGAGAATTTCACATGAGCACGAATGAGAATATTACAAGCATATGTGGTTCCAAATCGCATTTTAAATTTAGCTCTATCTACTGGATAATAGAATTTGTATGATACACAATCACTCTTAGCAGGTCCCTTATCAATAAAATTTCCAGAGAAAATTCATGGGCATCATGTTACATATTTATCATCTTAGGGATCTGAAAACTTGGTGGAAGTCTCCTTAAATGGTCCTTTAAAACTAATCATGAATAGAGTCAGTAATGTATAATTCTGATTAGCATGAATAGAAAGCTAATAAGGTTTTAATGTCTTGAGTACATACCATCTCTATTTGTGCAAAGATATTCTGAGGGGCAAAATCAGGTCTTGTGCCAACGGGAAGTCATACAGTGTCTAAAGACTACAGTTGACCTTTACAGTTTTGTAGTTCGCGCTTGCAGGGCAAATACTGTTGGTCTTTATTATTCTTATTTTACAGACTGATAAAACTGTAGAGAGATTAAGACTGCATGTGTAAAGGTATACCACAGGATGCCTGCCATGCTAAGATACTAACCGTGTAGGTATCTCAAATAGAGATGTTCATCTCTGCCTGCTCTTTAAGAGAGAGGCCAAACTTGATGGGATAAATACTTTTCCATAGAATGCAAATGTTGAGTACCTGATCTCAGGTGCCATGGTGATAGTAAACTTAATCAAAACTTATTTAGAAGTTTTTGAGATGCCTCCTTTGATGGCTGTGGTTCTTCCACTCTGTCACAGGTAGTAGTTACCTGAGCATTGCTGTTAAATGAGATAATACTGGAAACTTCTGAAAATGCTGATTTCTGAAAACTTTTTTTTTTTTTTTGGTATGCTGTGAAACCTGTTGGATTAGATTTGTCAGGACCAAAAGAGAATTTAGAGCTGGAGTGAGGAAAAACCCTGCACTCTGATACCCAGCAATGTACAGATGGGCTGTTTCTGTGCTTAGCTTTATTCTTGTCCTGGTTTCGGCAGGGGCAGAGCTAATTGCTTTTCTAGTAGCTGGTACAGTGTTTTGGATTTAGGATGAGAACAAAGTTGATAACGCACCGATGTTTTAGTTGTTGCTAGGTAATGCTTACACTAGCCAAGGACTTTTCAGCTTCCCATGCTCTACCGACTGAGAAGGCTGGAGGTGCACAAGAAGCTGGGAGGGGGCACAGCCAAACTGGCCAAAGGGACATTCCATACCATGGGACGTCATGCTCAGTACATAAACTGGGGAAAGCTGGCTGGGGGGGCCGCTGCTCGGGGGCTGGCTGGGCATCGGTCGGCGGGTGGTGAGCAATTACACTGTGCATCACTTGCTTTGTGTATTATTATTATTATTATTATCATATTATTATTATTATCATTTTATTTCAATTATTAAACTGTTTTTATCTCAACCCACGAGTTTTTCTAACTTGTGCTCTTCCAATTCTCTCCCCCATCCCACCGGGTGGGGGGGAGTGAGCGAGCGGCTGCGTGGTGCTTAGTTGCTGACTGAAGTTAAACCACGACAATTCTAAATCCAGTGTGTAGGGCAGCAGTTGATATCGACACCAGGTAGTGAAGTTGGAGCTCTCATGGTTGCATGTGCTTTCTCTCTCTGTGTCTTCTCTCTCTTACAATCCAACTTCTGGGCCTGTATGGATAATACAGGGAGAGAGAATAAAACCAAACTGATAATTATTTACTGTCTTTAAGGATTCAGCTACCCAAATGTTAGATATGCAGTGTAGCCATCAATGTCTAACCTAGACATCCACACTTACATGTCAGTGGAAAAACATTTTTTAGGATACGAAACATACTGAGAAGTACCTTTTCCTTTTCTTTGACTATAAAGGGAGCTTAGAGTGACAAGCTCAGATGGAAGCATCTAAAGAGGGTAATTGCAGCTGGCTACTATCCACACTGTCCTGCAGAAAAATGGTCACAATGGCAATATCACTGGCTGTGAATGTTGGTGGTATGGCATGGAGAGCTCATCAATCATGTTGTATTTGATGGTGTGCTTGCACGTGCTGTGCTTGCCTTTCACCCTTGGATAATTTCTGTGGATGTCCCATCAGATGTGTGGCAGCAACACAGCTGTTCAGTTAAATCATTTTGATTTAATCCTGTTTGATGTCCATTCAATCCAGTTTTAATCTTGTTTGAAATCCATTACCAGTAGGCTCTTGATTTACAGTTTAACTTTTTTTAAATATAAGAGGATTTTTGGTTATTTGCTTGAAGAACAGTAGGTTGAATTTCATTGGTCAGTACTAACTGACACTTGCCAATTTGAAACTAAATACTTTCTTTTTATAAATTTGGTATTTTTGCTAAACAGAAGAATGTATTTTTATCTTCCCATTTAACCAATCACATAGGTAAGCATAGGTTTATTTATATTTTTATTTTTTACTTTTATTATATTAAAAATTATATAGACCCTCTATTTTAGGTTAGTATTTAATATTAGAGTTATGATTACCCTAAAACAAAGCCTGATCTCTTTGAAATAACTGACCTTACTGTAGTATTTTTTTTGATCACTTAAACACAGTAAAAGCTTGGAATTTAATGTTAAAAGCACTTTTTAAAACAATGTATTACATTATAAGCATTGATTTCTTTGCTTCTTTAATCCTGCTTGTTAATTACAGAGTAGTAAAATCATAAGCATGTATGTAAGGTTTTCTGTTAATCTTGTTATCATTTGTCTTTTGGTATTTTTTAGGTGAAGTATGAGTTGCTGCTTGAGAAGGAGTGTCAACTACGTGATCTGGAAAATAACCTTGGAGAGTATATTGCTTCTTTAGCCTTTCAAAAGACTGTTAAAAAATCCAAAATGTTGGAGTTGTATACTGCTATCATAAGTGTGCAAGCTTTGCTCTTTGAACAACTGAGCACATCAAAAACCCTGTCAAAATTGGAATGTATTCAGATTTTGGAAGCACATAATCCTGTAAGTAATGAAGTTGTGAAAAGGAAAAATTTCTGTTAGGAGAGAGCAACTATCACAGTAGCTTATTTGACTTTGATTTAGCTGTGCTGGTTTGCAGCTCCTGGTGGTCCGGCCTTTAATTTCTGTGATTATGTGCACTTTAATGCACTCAGTAAAAGAAGTAAAGAGAAGGAAAGTATTAGAGCCAGGGAAGATTATGTATTATTATTATTTACTTTTATTATAGTAGCATCCAGAGATCTACAGTCAGAAAGAGCAGAGTTTTGGTGGCTAGTTAATGTTGTAAGTTTTGCTGATCACAAGGAGGACAATTGGGAAGTGATTGTGAGTCATGACTGGGATAGTGTGTAAATGGTCATGACTGTGTTAGTAAAATCCTTAACCGCACGATATACATCAATCATCGAGGTTTTTAAAGATGATATATACAGCCTCCTACCTGTCTATCTCCCTCCAAGCATGCTCATACAGTTTAAATAGTAGGAACTTTGGAAAGACCTCTTCCTTCATTGTTTTTATTACATACTTGGTATGTGTCAGTTTTCTTTTTTAATACTTCAGTGCTCTGTATTCATAAGGATTTCTTTTTTTTTACATCTGCTATTTGCAATCATCCAAGTGAGGCTTGGGAGAGCACTGGAGTAGAACAAACAAAATGGGTTTTTAAGAGCAAAACCTCTTTGCTAGAGGGCATCATTAGACAGCTATTGCTGTGAAAACTCTTGGTTAAATTTTAATGCAGTCATCTCTACAGAGTTTCTCTTAGAATGGCAGTTAGAATGCTTATATGCTTCCAGTTTTGTTTAAATTTGTATTAAACAGGTGACCAAGAAGGCCAATAGCATCCTGGCTTGTATCAGAAATAGTGTGGCCAGCAGGAGGAGGGAAGTGATCGTGCCCCTGTACTCGGCACTGGGGAGGCCGCACCTTGAATACTGTGTTCAGTTTTGGGCCCCTCATGACAAGAC